GCAGGAAGATGAGGGAGGAGGGTCACAGAAGGAGGAGGGAAAATTAGTCCTTCCAAATACCTCCACTCTTCCCAAAGATGCCCCTGCTGAGCAAATGACTTCCATGCCGTGTGGACGCGAGAAGTAATGCAAAATGGCCCTTTCTTGAATCCTCGTGGCCTGCCTGGCACCCCTGACAATAATAATGCAAAGTTATCATGGCGATTCAACGCGAGTGGCTCCATCGTGGACAGGGCTGGTGGGGAACTGTAGTATCAGCGGCTCCAACTTGATTTTTGGCCTGCTTTCTCTTGTCTTGGGGCCCAGTGCAGGAGCTCAGTCCAAAATAATGGCCTCTGTAATTTTGCTTTAACCATGCTTTACAAATCATTACTCCTCTGTAAGACAAACCAAAGAACCCTTCTCCTTTATAGCACACTAGTTACCCTCGGTGGTAGCTGACAAACAGGATGGCAGGGGTGCCCCCTGCTCAGAGTTGGGCCTCTCTCCCCTCCCTGCTGTCAGGATCCCCCACCCCGCACCTGTCCATGCCCCCTCTGACCATGGCACCCATCTGTCTCACTCCAGCCACCATGCTGGCGGCCACCTCCACCATCCACACGCCTCCCCGATCCGTGCTGCAGCCTGCCAACTGGTGGGCAGCTGCTCTGTGCGCCCGAGCCTCGGCTTCTCCAGCACCACCATCTCTTCTGCCACTGGCTTCTTCCTGTCTGAGGAAATTGCTGTCCAAGATAAAGTCACTCTTGTGAGACCCAGCTAGAACCCGGAGCTGAGAAACCATGCAGTGAGAGCCCCGGCCCCCATCTGTGGGAGACACGGACTCCCTGAAAGCCCCAAGGGTAAGTCCTTCACACTCCCCGTCATTTGTGTGCCACATGTACATACAGATCTTGGCGACAGTTCCTTTAGCATCCTGGGAAGCCACACAGTTTGGACCAGCTGCTTTCCCGAGGGCATCTCTGCCAATGCAAGGCTGCCAACTCCTGCCTTGTGTCTCCAGGACCAGCAGACCTTGCATCCGAGCAGCTTATGTGAGCCTCTGTCTTTTGCTATAAAAGCTCGCCTCCCCTTCCCTGTCCTCTGTACCTGGAGCTGCCTGTAGTGTGCATCCTGGATTATAATCCTTTGCTCATTCCCCAATGCATTCATTACACTTTCAGGTATTTTGTGGGTTTTTCCTTTTAGTTTTGATACTTCATGAGCTTAGTTCCCACAGCACAGGGCATCTTAGAACAGCCCTCCACACCATGCCTTGCACAAACTGATCCTTGCTCCTGCCTGCACCCACCAGAGGCCTCTGCCCAGGAAGCCATCCTCAGGCAGGGAAGGGGCTGCTGCCTGCTGAGCTCTGCAGAAGGCGTGGAAGGGGGCTGTCAGACCTTTGAGTTCTCTGGTAGAAGAGTATGGGGAGCAGCTTTGGAGAGAATAGTGCGGGAGCCCGGCCAGAGAAAGTCCCTGGGCAAGGACAGGGACTGCAGGTGTATCGTGGCAGCCAACCTGTGAACCAGCTCAGATCCAAGTTGAGAGCTGAGTTTGTCCAGGGCTTGGGTGCCCCATGGTCAGAGGAAGACAGGGGGTGTTAGGGACATTGGCTGAAGGATGGTGCTGAACGCTCTGGCTGTTGTTTGCTGATTTTTTTTTTTTTGAGGTACCAGGGATCAGACTCAGGACCTTGCACTTGCAAGACAGGCACGGTGCCACTGAGCTAAATCCCTGGCCCCTGCTGATGGTTTCTAAGCAAGAAGCACCGAGGACAGGGCCGCATCTGGTCTCCATTGCATCCCATCCTGTGGTTAGTTGTGTTTTCCTGTTTTGGTCAGGTGGTTTTGGGAATGAGAAGGAGGAATCTTGCACTTGGACAGCAGGAGAGAAAGGGCTGGGGGACAGAAGTGGGGTTGGAGGTACCTTGGTGCTGGAGATGGAGGCTCCAGATGAGACCCAGGACACAGGTGGGTGAGGGGTGACTGATGGAGGGGTGCAGCCCAGCTGGGTTTCCAAGGATCCTCCCAACATCCTGGGGAGCGCCTGCTCTGATGAGAGCTGAGTGCTTTGTCATCCTAAGTAAAGGGAGATGATGGCGGCCTGGACACTCTCATGGCATGAGTCATGTCTTTGCCACACTCTGAATAAGCTCCAGGGCTAGGACTCTAGGAATAATTGTGCAGTTGTGCTCTTCAAATAAGAGCAGGATGTGGCTACATCAGCCTGTTCAAGTCTGCAAATAAACTGCATTCTACTCAAAGGCTTAAGACATGACAGAGCTGGGTGCATGGATGCACACTGCAGTCCAGCTGTTCTGAGGCTGAAGCAGGAGGTTTGCTGGAGCCCTGCAGTTCGAGGCCAGCGTCAGCCACATAGTGAGACTCTGTCTCAAAAACAAAAAACAAAAAACAAAAAGGTACAAAAGACTCAGCTCATTCTTTTCTTTCTACTGGAAATTTATCAGCAGATTCACCATAATACCTGCTGTTTTCTTAGAAATCTAATAACATTTATTTGTAACATTACATGAAATGACCATATATAAATATCATATTATATATATAAATCTCATAATTTCATTGAAACACAGAAACCGTTCAAGCACAGAAACCGTATCAAGAATGAAATAGTCTTTGATGAAAGGGACACATCTACTTTTGAAAACAGATTTTACCCTCTACATGCATGAATTACATAGTACAAACAGTAATGTCACTGCCATTCAAAGTTTTCATAATTGATTTGTGATAGCAATCAAATAAGCATCAATAAATTGTTTAAAACAGTGTTTGACAGTAAAGTTATTAAGAATGAAATACAGGCTTTTTGAAAAGGTGAGAAATACATTTCAATTCCCAAACAACTCTGTTACAAAGAATCAGTGTCAAACAAGGCGTCTTGAGATAAGCATCAGTAGAATTAGCTACACGTTGGCCTCCTGAGTGTTCGTTCTCTGTAAATAGAAACAGGGCTGGATATACTGTAATTAGTTTATTCACAGACACCAAAGAACTGTTTCCCAGAATACTTAGAGGAAGATTGCTGGAAACATAGTTCTTTGCATACACCCCAGTGGCAAATCATTACATAAAGATGTGGATACTTATACACACCTAGAGCTCACTCAATGTGTCTACATCAGGTGAAGACATCTGCCTCTCCTAAGTGTGCTATGTAAAATCTATACAGCAGATTTGTCCAATTCTTTTATGTGGTGCTGGAGATTAGAACCAAGGACCTCACATATGCCAGGCAAGCACACAACCGATGAACTATACTCCTACCCGCTGTTGAATTCTGATTACTTGGCACTTAACATTAAATCAAATGCATTTAGAAACTTTCACAGAAACCTTACATTTGTTCCACAGATGTACATATACACAGCGAACAGGAGAAATGTCTGTTTTCTGCACTTCTTCATTTCTCTAGGGACCAATGGGGGGGTGAGAGACAGAGAAAGAGTGAAAGAGACTGAACGTTTTATTTAAGCGAAGCCTTAAGTTTTGTTCATATTAAAGCGTTCCTTCTGAGATAACTGTAGATTCTAAGATAGTGGTAGATCATTATAGATTCACATGCAGTTTTAAGAAACAATATAGGGCTGGGGGTTTAGCTAAGGGCACTGTGCCTGTCTGGAAAGTACAAGGTCCTGAGTTCAATTCCCAGTACCAAAAAAACAAGAAAAGAAAAGAAAAAGAAAAAGAAAAAAGAAACAAGAAACAATATAACCCTCTCTTCCTGTACCTTTTACTCAGTTTTTCCCCAAGATAGCATCTTGCTAAAGTACAATTTTGCAACCAGGATTTAAAACTAATTTGTTCAATTATACCAAATATTTCCATCATTATTAGGGTCTTTGTGTTACTCTTTTATAGTCAAAAGTATCTCTCTTGTTCTTTACCCTTCTTCTTGGCAATCTCCAATTATTTTCCATTCCTATCAGTTTGCATTTCAAAATGTTACATAAATGGAATCATACAGTTTGTGAACTTTTAGGGCTAGTTTTTCTTACTCAGCTCAGGTCTCTGGAGATGCCTCCAAGCTATTGCCTGTATAGGTAATTAGCTTCTTTTTATGGCAGAGTAGTATTCCATGACATGGATGTACCACAGTGTGTTTTACCAGCTAGCAGATTAATAGACATTTGATTGCTTCCAGCTTTGTTTGTTTGTTTTTTGAGACAGGGTCTCCCTAGGTGGTTCAGGCTGGCCTTGAACATGCAGGGATCCTCCTGCCTCAGCCTCCCAAGTGCTGGTATTACAGGCATGCACTACCATGTCCAGCTTCTGCTTTGTTATTAATGCATGTTTATGCACCCACCAATGACATTGTCTTGAATACTGTTGCTCTTTAATAAATCTTTCCACTGGGTGGAATGATTTCTCCTGCAAGATTGTTTTAATTCATTCAAAACCTGCAAACCTCGAAATACAATTTTTAGAATAAATACATATTTGGCTACAAAACCTTGCTGGGGATTTGATTGAAATCACATTAAATTAAGAGATCAATTTGGGGAGAATCTTTACTATCTTGTGCCTTCCAATTCATGAACATGGTGTCTCTCATTTGTTTAGATTTTTGATTTCTTCCATTAGTATTTTAGAGTTTCCAGCATATAAATCTTGTGTATGTTTAGTTAAGCTTATACCCATGTGTTTCAACTTCTTTGGAGTGCCAAGAAATGGTATTATGTTTTTAGCTTTGGTTGCCACATACTCATTACTGGAACTTTAAAATGTGATTAAATCTTGTGTGCTGATCTTGTATCCTAAAACCTTGCTGCACCTACTAGTTCTAGGGTTTTTTTGATTTTTAAAAAGTAGATTATTCGAAATTTTCTATGTGGACAATCATGTTACCTATAAATGGGGATACTTTTATTTTTCTTTCCAGTTGATATGCATTTTACTTCTTTTTCTTATCTTATTGCTATGTTTAGAACCTCCAGTAAAGTCTTAAAAATTTTAATCAATGTAAAATTCCTTCTTTCTTTCTTTCTTTTGGTACTGGGGATTGAACTCAGGACCTTGTGTTTGTGAGGCAGGCGCAGTGCCACTGAGCTATATCCCCAGCCCTAATCAATGTAAATTTCTAGACATACTCTTGCCTGAATGGAACTCATCAGATCCAAATCTTATTCATTCACCCAAATGAATTTTAAATACTTTTCTTACAGTTCAACCTGTTCTGATTTCATTTCCTGTAACTTCAATAAGTAGCTGACAAAATTCATCAGTGATTATAAGTGGAAGCCAATCTTTGAAGCCCTTTGAATCATCACAGACCCTTACTGAGTGAAAGGGAAACTACTGACTATAAAAGCAAATCCAGTGTAGAAGTATTATCTGTAAGACAGGACCAGGAGGCAGAAGTTCTCCAAGAATTAAAGTTTAAGGTTGACTTATAGAGCACTTTTGAGCTTGTGACTTATTCTTCCAATTTCTCCTGATCTTCTAAATTGGGGTTAGCAATAATTTTAAAGTCTGAAAACACAAAATACCCTCAAAGAGTTACCTTATTCTTATGCATTAGAGAATGCCATTGTTAGGAACTCTTGAGAATTGGCTTATGACAAAAGAATACTGTGCATCTTACTATGTTTTTAGTAATAGGCACTTAAAATATATTTTGATTTAATTTTTTTTTCATACTGGGGCTCAAACTTGGGACCTTGCGCTTGCAAGGCAGGTGGTGGAACCACTGAGATAAATCCCCAGCTTAAAGTATATTTTGACAACTCAAAACTCTCTTCATGTCTTATTTTGTTAAGCAAAATTAAAATATAATCATTAATATCACTTGCACTTATTCTAAGAATGTTTGTTTCTTATATTAGTGATGTGCTGTTATATTAGTTCACATAAATAACCCAACAAAGAGAATTTAATACTGTGAAGACAGAAAAGTTGGATACTAGTAGATCCTTTGTAGATTTCTATTATAAGAAGTCCTGGATATGCACATGGAGATACATGCAGGCCTTGAGTGTGCACACAGGTGCAGTCTAGTTTCTTGCAAACACCAGGAGCTCCAGAATATAATTTTCAGAAAATTAAAAATCTGTAGTAAGAATAAAATTTCAGAGACCTCCTCCCCCGGCAAAGCAGTGATAACTCATGTCCAGGCAGGTTAGTCATTCTCTTCTATAATCACTCTACTATTTTTTCTGGTTCAGTGACTCTATGCATTTTAGCAACTCTTCTGTTCTTAAAACTGCACCCATTGTGTGCAGAGTGTGACCATGGGACTGACCATGGAATGCTGACTTACAAGGAGCCTCATTCTCCTTGTAAGTGGTGACAGCTGGTTGCATGGCTAAATGAGATGGTGTCTATTAGGGTCTAGCCCAGGGTTGGGCAGGGATCAGGCCCTTCACACCGACTGCTTTCCACTTCTCTTACACATTGCCTTTGCTTCCCTAGTTTCACCTTCTTGCATCTCTGAACACCATGCAAGGAGGTATTCTCATTTTAGATGCTACTCCTCATGAATGTAAGAGAGGAGCCCTCAGAAATGTGAGTAGCTGGGATCTCAGAAGCTTGGTGAAAAATCTACTCCATTCTCTTTAGTGTTCTCCCATGGCCTGCTTACAGAGAACAGGGCTGGGGACGAAACTGCAGGTTCTTATGCCATTTATCATGTTACAGCGAGGAAAGAACTTTGTAAGTGATTAATGCATTCTAGCAAACATGATTCAGTAATGCATTTGCCATGCAGAAATATGGCAAGTCATCCACCATAGTCCTCCAGCTTCGCCTGAAACACAGTACTGTTGGCTGTGTGATGTGCATTCGGCTCCTCTGTGATTGCAGTGAGTTTTGATCCGAGATACTGCTTTTGGCACAGCAAGCAACAAAATGTTCTCACAATACAAAGCAATCACATTGTACGATAGTCATAATTTTTTTTCTTAAAGAAAGGAAAAACAACAGTCTTGATGCGCCATTTTGACAACCAACAGTGACTTCTAACTAGGTGAGTCTGGATTGAACAACTACATAAGCAGATTGTCTGTGTGGAGTTTCTGCGGGATAGGGGGGTCTGCAGATGACTCCTTGGATCAGAGTCTAGCACAAGGTTCCTGTTCAACCTTGCTCATTCTGCTGTACCCTTACCGGTCAGCTAGGAACCCTTAAACCAAGAGACAGCAACCAGGAGCTGCCCTACGGCGTCATTAAAAGATTTTCATTTTACTGCAAATACTGAGGACTTTCTTCTTATTCCCTCAGGCCTTCCTGGGAACTGCTTTGAAATATTCCTCTCTTGAAATGTCAGATACACCTCCATACCATTTCTGAAGCCAGACATGCTCTATCTTCATCTTCATAAAGAACCACTCATACTGCCGTGGCCACTTCCTCATCCCAGGGTGCCTATAGGAGCAATGAGAGATCACAGGGAAGATGTTCTTGTCAAAGGGGTGCACCAGGACCAGTCCTGGGCCTTTATCAGGACTGAAAGCTATTGAACCAGCCTGAGACAGACCCTAAGGACGAAATGTCAGGGCCTGGACAGCCTTAGGAAGCCAGGAAGCTATGGGTCCTCCACCCCGTGGCAAAAGCTCAAGAGTTGAGCCGAGCTCCTTGGTTTGAATCCCAGCTCTCTGTGCAAGCTCTCACCACCTTACCTGCCTTGCAAGTGATGGTGATGGGACTGGGCCTTGAGGCTGTGCGTGGAGCAAATGAGGAAGCACCCCTAACATACCTGCACCAGGCAAGTGCTCAGTGGGCACCTGCGACTGTGACCAGGAAACCCTAAGAAAGGCTCTGTGCATCCCTGCAGGACATGTTCAGACAGTGAGCCTGGGAATGACGTCTGCTCATGGTAGGATGTGCTTTCCGTGGCAAGCTTCGGACTGTCCATCCAGGCGGAGAGCCAGCCAGAGCTGACAGGGGAGCATCTGTCACTTTCCTTCTTTTGCAGTTTTCCCTCCCACATGTACCCTGACACACACTTACCCTGACACGAGGGCAGGGGCCGGGCTCACCCGCTTTTTGAACTTCATAAAAATAATATTCCTTTCTATCTAAAAATTCTAGAATTCAAAGACCAAGTCCAAATTGGGAAAAACATTTGTAACAAAGCAAATGCAATAAAAAATGCTCCGAGTGGACGTTTGACAATGTTTGTGGCAATGGCTCGACTAGAAGGGTGAAGAATTTTCGTCGCAGGCAGGGCACTGGCAAGGTTGGAAGGATGTAAGAGCTGTGCCTGGGGCACCTGCGTGTGGGGCTCTCCAGAGGCGGCGGGGCCCACTTGGAGCCATCTGCTATTGCCTGCGTGCGACCGTCTGTGAAAAAGTGGTTGCGTTGTGCCTGGAGTGGGGCAGCCCAGACCACTTGTTACAGTGCAAAAGGCATCAAAAGGCACAGCACTGACCTCCTCTACTTTTATTACTGTGTATTTCTGGGCAAACTAATTTATTTTATTTAGTTTTTATGAGTACATAAAAATATGTCTGAGTACAGTTGGCAGTGTACAGTGATCAAATCCTTGTGGGGAGTTGGTACATGTAAACGACACATCCGAATTCCTCTTTCGTCCCCATCCTCTCGCTTCCCTCCTCCTCCCTCCGTCTGTGGGCAGACTAATACCAGAGCTTGACACACCTTGAAAACATGGCTTGCTTGGCAAACTCAACTTCTTCTGGAGTCACCATAATCATTTGGCCAGTGAGCGTTAACCGGGCACAGCGAGGATCTTCTGGATCAACAATGTTTTTTCTGCAAGTGAAGGACATTTTTTCATATGTTAAAACACTGCTAGATAATCAGTCTGAAATGCCAAGGAGTTTATTAAAAATGAAAATGGTAGCCACACTACTGATTATATCATTCAGATTTTTATTATAATTTTTGGTATTGGGGATTCAATCCAGGGGAGTTACAGTGAGCTACACCCCTGATGTCGATTTTATTTTTATTAAAAAATTTTTTTTGTTGTTTTTTTGGTACCGGGGATTGAACTCGGGACTTTGCGCTTACGAGGCAGGCTGCAGAACCACTGAGCCAACCTCTGGCCCTGTTTTTATTTTTATTCTTTAGATAATCTGGCTATTTTGTTAAATTGCTCAGGTTGGGCTCAAACTTGCCATTCTCCTGTCTCATCTTCCCAGAGTGCTGGGGTTACAGGCATACCCTATCACACCTAGCTCTTGTAATTATTTAAAATACTTTTGTATAGGCAGTATGACAGAATAAAGCAAAAAGCCTCCACACAGAGGCCCAGCTCCACATCTTTAGCTGGAGAAACTTTGTACATATTGCCCTGCATTTGTGTAGAGAGAATGAAATGTGTCCCTGTGCAACTCCACGGGGAGGAGACACTCGGGGGACAGTGTATGGCTTCCCTTGCATTTCGCCTCATGCACCTTCTGCCTTTGATGACCTTGCTCTGCATTCTTTCACTACGGCACACTGCGAGCTTGTGAGCCCTGTGAGTCTTTCTAGAAAATGTGTGGAGTCCAACACATGTGGCCAAGGAGATCCTGACAAGTCTACTTTTCATAGATCGTAGAAATGATAAAATTGCTTTCTTGGGGCACGAATCTCTAAAACTCATTCTTAGGCATTACACTGCATTACATTACATCACATGCTGGAGAAAGCTACTTCTGTCAAGTAAAGCACATGCTTTGCTTATACTTAAGGACTTGTTTTTGCCTGCCCAGATGTTTTTCTTTACTACAGGCCCTGTTGAGTAATAGCAAGACAGGGTAATAGTGGACATGCCTATGTGTTCAGGTAAATTGCTTCATGTGGGAACACTGTGTTCCATCTGAGAGTGCTATAATTCGCCATGTTTTTGACACTGCAAAAATGTAGTTGCTGAATTGTGAATTTTTCTTGTGGGTTAAAATGAAAGAATGACAGGATATAATCATAATAATGATTGTAAAAACAGAATCCACATTGTATTTTGTGAAAAAAAAAAGCTGAGATGCATAGGAGAAAATAAGCAAGAAAGAGTAAACAGGAACAAAATTTATATATCAGAAATGTTAGATTTGTGACAGATAAGACTGTCATCAATTCTGTTCACTACTGAAGCTAATTTCAACAAAATTACTCTGCCATGAAAGCAATGGAATTAGCATTCCTAAGTCATTGCAGAATGAATAATACATTGCATTTGAATAAAGGGCATTTTGCTTCTCCTCTGCTGGTGGATACACAGAGTAGAAAGGAGATTACAGATTCCAATAGCCAAATAGAGAACTTTCCATGTACACAGTAGGAAACCCAGTAAACCCAGCTGATAATACTTTCTTCCATCTGTAGCAGGCAAGCTAATGGCCCCTCAGAGACAACCACATCTAATCTCTGGAATTTGGGAATATGTTACCTTACATAGCAAAAGGGAATTCAGGTTGCTCATTCGGTAACTCTGGGTAGGGCGGATACCGTGGATTATCTGGCTGGGTCCGGTGCAATCATGTTTCCTTAAAAGTAGAAGAGGGAGGCAAGAGGGAGTGTGAAAGTGGTGTGACGTGAGAAAGCCATGGCTGGCCATTCCGAATACGGAAGGGATCATGAGCCTCAGAACCCAGGCAGCCTCTAGAAGCTGGAAAACTCTCCCTGAGAGCCTCCAGAAAGGAGCATAGCCCTGCCAACCCCAGGTGTTAGTAAAACACATTTTTGGCTTCTGAACTTCAAATCTATAGCATCATAATTTTGTGTGTATGTGTAGAGTTTTGTTTTGTTTTTGCAGGCCTGAGGATGAAACCAATGTCCTCACACATACTAGGCAGGCCCTTAGTGATTGAATTTCACTCTAAGCCCATTTGTGCTGTCTGCAGCCACTGAGTTGTGATCATTTGTCACAGCAGCAACAGTACACCCTCTCAGGAAACTGGGCTGCAACCCCACCCTCTGTGATACACATGTAACACACCTGGGGATACTGGTAGCTGCTGCTCCTGAAATGGCAGGCAAGTGCAATACTGTTATTTATTTATTTTTTTGTACCTGGGATCCAACTCAGGACATTGCGCTTGCGAGGCAGGCAGCGGCACCACCGGACTAAATCCCCAGCCTGATACTGCTATGTTTTAGATCTAAAATGTGCCCCACAAAGTCTCATGTGTTTGGAGATCTGGTTGGAGGAGGCAAGTCACTGAGGGTGTGACCTGAAAAGGTGTGTTTTTATTCCTAGCTCTAGAAAGCTGGAGACTGAGTAGCTTAAAGTAGTTATGCAGGTACCGTAGCACCCATATGAGTGAATAAAAATAAAAACCCTGCACACCACTGCCCAGCTCATTCTGTTAGCTGCCAATATAATACTTTGCACAAATTGCCCTGCATTGATGAGGGGAGAATGAAATGTGTTCCCATGCAACTCCATGGGGTTGCATCCCCTTCCATATTCAAAGACTTGCTTTGCTGTTTCTGCCTCCTGGCTGCCAAGGATTGAACAGCTTTCCTCCACCATGACCTTCCATCATGCAGTTTCTACCTTGGAGCTGGCCAATCAAGGAACCCATCAAAACCATGAGCCAAATTATATTTCTCCTCTTTTAAGTTGCAAGTGTCCTGTATTTTGTCACAGCAAGAGGAAAATAATTAATATAGAAAATTGGTACTGGAGAAGTGGGATCATTGCTGTGGCTACACCTGACCTTGTGATTCAGAAGCTTTTGGAACTGGTTTGTAGGAAAATTTTGGAAATGTTTTGATAAGTAGGCTATTGAAAGCCTTGAAAGCTATAAGCAGAGCTTTATGGGCATCTCTGGTTGGAGCTCAGAAAACCAGAGTGCTGACAGGAATGAAGACAGTTAACATGGGTTCATGGGGTTTCAACTGGGAATGAAGACTTTACTAGGAAATGGACTAGGAACTAAGTGTGTTACACTCTGACAAATAATTGTTTTTATTTTGCCCATGTCTTAACATTTTGTGTGAGGCTGATTTTGAAGGTGGCAGACTAATTAATCTGGCAGAGGAAATTTCAATGTAGTCCAATGTTCAAGTTGTGGTATGGATATTGTTGGCCACTTTTAGCAGAATCTATAGTGAGATTCAACAGAAAAACCACCCACAGCTGAAAGATGTAAAAATCATGCATATTGGCTAGAAAGGAAGAGCCTATAAAGTTGGAGCCAATGAGAATGAGTTTGCTGAAAATATTAACATTAAGAAGAAGCCAAATACAGTGGTACCTTGGTTCATGAATGCTTTTTAAAAAAAATACCAATGATTTTTATTGACAAAGTTTATAGAATTAAATTAAATATTTAAAATCCAAGGCCAAATTTTAGGTCTCAATGGGTTATCTCATTTATTTGTATTAAATGCAGCTTTTCCTAATGCCCTAACTTTGTGAAGTCAAATCTGTGAAAATACTTGTTAACATTCAACATCTATCATTCTTACCTATTTCTGTTCTATGATGCAAAGATTTTAATACTCAATTGGTACCTCAAATGCCCAATTTTGTCATAAGCAGCATGTTTCATTTTAAAATTCAGAAAAAGGTTATTTAGTATATTAATTAATTGAGTCAATTAAAAAGACACAGGTCAGTCTTTTAAATCCAGAAGTGGTCCAGGAAGCAGGGATTTAGCTCAGTGGTTCCACCACCTGCCTCGCAAGCATAAGGTCTTGAGTTCGATCCCTGGTACAAAAAAAAAAGTTGTGTATGTATTGATCACCTGGAATCCTGATTGGCCAAAATGTAAAACTCAAATACTTTAAATTTCTTTAAAGCTAAAAATAAATACCTTATTACTTTTGAGAAACACTTTGTCAGAGATGTCTCCTTCTGCCTACATATTCTCCTCTGGCATTATACCTGGTACTTTTATCATAATTATGAAGGTGGCCAGGTTTCCTGTAAATATCAGCATTTTACATGGTCAAAAGCAGTTAAGAAAAAAAAAATCAGTCTTTAACATAGGTCAAATGTATTTGTACTTAATCTTAACCCTGTTTCAAAGTTTTTGAAGCTATGATATGTTAAATTTGGTCTGTGCTTACTATGAAATATTATGCTTTTGCAGAATTAACACTAAAACTAAATTGATGACACTTTCAGGGCACAGGAGAGCCAGACAGTTCCTGCAGTGTTAGCATCACTGAATTCTGACTTCCACTGCTCTGTCTGGCCGACACCGACACTTCATAGTTTACAAAAGTAAAGTGCATACGCATGAGTTTAAAAATTGATCTGCACAAAAGAAATAAAAAACTCTATATACAACAAATTGCTTTTAAAAAATACAAAAATAAAATCTGTCACTTCTGTCATGCTGATAATTTAGCAAATACACACATGCAGAAGAAAGTTCTGATTTAGTCATCAAGATGGCTTGTGTAATTTAACATGATGGACACACTGCCACTGAGTTCACTGACAGAAGAGATGTGTATTCAAAATACTTCATACACTAAATACTGCAATAGTCTCCGCATGTGTAAATTCCACTTATAATAGTTTCATCATACTTGATTAAAAGCATGTCTTGAGCAAGCTAATATCAAATGCACTAAAACCCACAGTTCAGGAATCTATAATCTTATATAGAGAAATTCAAAATGTACAAAATTCAACTGTGAGAGCAAGTAATAATTACTGCCATGAAAGATTTTAAACTAAAAACAACACAGGGCCGTGGGTTTAGCTCAGTGGTTCCACCGCCTGCCTCGCAAGTGGGAGGATCTGAGTTCAATCCCCGGTACAAAAACAAAACAAAACAAAACAACAACAACAAAAAAAACCAAAACCA